TAGAGGCTAGGATCGAATGAGAAGATTGAGATGAGGCCACAGGGGCTCATCTACGTTCCCTCCCCTGTCTCTTGTTCAACGCGAGGCGGCCTTGAGCCCTCCGCGGGCCGGCCTTTGAACCCCGGTCTCCCGATTTAAGGTCGGGCGGCTCGAGCCCCGAGCCCCATGGGGTTCGATAGGGGTCGGCCGAGTTTCATGCATCACCCCATCCTCGGTTTCTGCAATTGGAGGGGCTAAGCTAATGACACTTGCCTCGATGGCTCGAGTATCACGCTTGGTGAGCTCGCTAATGGGCATATTCGAGTGGAATCTGGGTCCATCATCCACTGAGGGGTTGGTAGAGCCCTCATGTGGCATTCCACTACTTCTTAACCCGCATCCCGGTAGATGCCCGAGCCATTCGATAGGCTTAGGTGGCCTAGAGATTCTATGGGCTTGGGTCGAGGTTAGAATAGAACGAGAAAGGTCAAGATGTCCCTGTCCGCTTCTGAGCAGGGTCGGGCAAGGCCGCTAGGGCTCATCTCGGTTTTTCTCCGCTGGCTCTGTTTGACACGAAGCAGCCTCGAGCCCTTCATGGGCCAGCGTTCGAACCTCAGTCGATCGCCGCTCATATTGAATGAGACGACTACTGCTTCGTGACACGACACGAAGCTTTGTGATGCAACAATTGTATATGCAATGCTCGGATGTATGGGATGAATGTATGAACGTATGAATGTATGTGTGAGAATGAATGATCATGCAATGGAAAAGAAAAAGTTGGGGTTGGTAAAGTTACCTCAACGGCTCCAGAGACGGGTTCAGAGAGCTCTTATCGGATATGTCTATGTGGGGTTTGGATCCGACGTTCGTGACGGAGCCGGCGTACCTGCATGGTGTATCCCACTACTCCCTATCTATCTCTCGGTAGTGGCCTAAGCCGTTCGATCAACTTTGGGCAACCTGATGGCCTCTCCTCGATGGAGATTCCATAGGTAGGCCCCTCCAAACCCGTCCTGGGAAGGTTGAGGCTAGAGCTTGGGGTGCGGAGACAAAGACTCTGATCACGCTGGTGAATGAAAACACCATAGCCGATAGCACGTAGGGTCCTAGTGGTCCGACCAGGTTTACTCAGAGTTTGTGTCCGCACACCCTGCCTCTAAATTTTAATGTAAGGAGGGGTCGGGCCTAGAGAATGTCTACCGGATAGACACTCTCGCCAGCCTCTGAGCGATATCCGACCTCTTGCCATTCCTGGGGTCGAGGGCTCAGTAGCGAAATTAATGCGTAAAGTAAAGGTGCTAGTCCCTCGACAGCGGCTTTGAGCCATTCAATCGAGCTGGGCACCGATTTTACCTCGATGGTAAGAGTGATGGGTCCGGGAAGCCTCCACCGGATATGAGCATGATCATATCTACTCCCCACCCATTTCTCGGTGGTGGCTAAGCCATCGAGGCGACTAGTGCTACCTGGTGAGACAAGATTTTCCTGCGAAGATAAAGGATGGATCTACCAGCCTATGCATGGTAGATTGGTATGGGCTTTGTGGGTCTTTTTGGCAAAGAACTGGCGTTGAATCGGCCTCTCCGTAAAGCCAGTCAGCCTCGCCATTTAGATCTATATCCGTTGTGTATCTTGGACATGTGCAGCCCGGACGATCAAGACCATGCTAGTGTGTGACCGGAATTCGCATCAACACACCTTTTATCAACTTTGCTGGGCAAGGAAGCAAACATATCTCCTACTATGGCCGATGGTATGCAAAATGGTCCGACTGATCCAAGCAATCCCGTGTACATCATGAAGCCTTTGGCCTATCAACTTCCTAATGAGATTTGCAAGATGCTAGAGAAGAGGGCATAGGCCGGAGTTGTTACTAATCTATAGTATGCTCTAGTGTGCTTTACATTGGATCGGCTAGAACCTTTCAAGAAAATTAAAGGCAGCAAAATTGATTTTATTCCTACTACAACTTCATCTGAGGTAAAAACTCCTCATCCACCTTCAAAATCTGGAGGGAGGGAATTTTACTCAACTGACCAATAATTAGCTTCTATTAGTTTGGTGTGCTTAGGTAACAAGATAGTTGTTGGCTTGGTGTCCATCTAATAGTTAGCTAACATAATAGCCAGGTCTATTGGATCCACCACAACTAATTTTTTAGCAGCTAATAACAACTATATGGTTGGATCCAACCCGACCCTCAAATCATGTTAAAGTGTTGTTAATTATGATCAATATACTATTAGCAGTAATCAAAATTGATATGGTGTATTAGCAGCCAATAAGTGCCTATGCATGGTAGATTGGTATGGAGTGAATCTATATCATTAAAAATTTGATTTTCAAGGATCAAAATAGATATGACATTACTAGGCAGCATATGCTTACTTATGAAGTAAGATGGGAAATTGTAAATATATGATTTAAATACCTACCATCGGTGTAAACATTGAGTGGGTAAAATATATTAGAGGATATTGGTGCTATGAGTAAAAACCTCAAGATATGATATTTTTTAAGGAAAAATGACAAAAATTGATTGCTCAAGGTTAATTTGGTTGTGGCTCAAGCCTATATAAGAAAAGACCCACAAGCATAGGGGCACTCAATTCTCAATCAGCGAACAACCACAAAGCATAGGAGCATCATCAAGGGACCAACTAGCCTCTACTTTCAGAAGCCTAGCCTAGAGCATCATGGCGTGGTCCAAGAAGACTCTCGCAATTGTCGTTGTTCCGCTGCTGATGGCTCTCCTTGCCTCAACCGTTCCAGCAAGCCAGGGCAGTCGTGCCCTGTTAGGAGCAGAGCAGTGCTCCAAATCTGACTACTGCAACGAACAGTCGTGTGGGGCGACGTGCGCCGTCTTGGGGTTGAATGTTGTTGGGGTATGCAACGTTGTTGGTGGGGTCTCCTCCTGTTGTTGCGTCCCAAAACCATCCACCTCCATCAAAATCCGCCACTAGCCTGTTTGCTGATTCATCAATTTGTCGATTCAAGATAGAGAAACTGCATTTTTGTTAGCAATATGTAATATGTTCTACAAGGGACAAATGTGTGGCACAATGTATTACGTCCATGCACATGGCAAATAAGTGATGGTGTGTATCATTAAATTAATTTAGTACATAAAACGTGGTCACGCAAACCTTCACATTATGACGATACGTTTGATGATTTCTCGTCCTGCCTTGTTTTAGCCTTCTCTACCCAATTCCCAATGATTGGTAACAAGCTTTTGGATGTGATGTCCTTCTTGTTGGCGTGTGATGTAGTGTGGATGGGCTTGCTAGCCTCGGATTGTCCAGTCCTCCTAACCAGTGTGGGCTTGTTTCTACTTTTGGCACTGCCAGTACTGCTAGATAGGGCACAAATGTCACCTCCGTGATAGCTAGGGTGCTTGAAATTGTGATATATGGAGATGCATCTCCTACAGAGGGCACTGGGTTATAATACGATAGTTGGGACTCATATAGATATAGCTATTGATCAGTTCTCTAACAACGATGATGAGACCAATGCCTCACAGTTCGTCATAACCTCTAGAACATACAATTCCATAGCATATCCCGATGACAACTCAAGGTTTTCTTGTTGCAAACTCCTCCGATGATCTACTAGGAAACAAGAAAACTATGTGTAGCATATGTTTCCTACTGAGGGTATCACGGGCTATTGAGAGATCCATCCATCCAATCGACAAAAATAATGTATTAAACTATTTGACTTTTCTGTACCTAAACCTCTCCCAGTCCCCTTGATGTCCAGCGCATCTCTCTACGAGATCTGACGACATCGAAGGTGGCTTTGACAATTTTATAGCAGCCCCGTTGTTCAATTTCCTGATGGGTCATCCCTTGAGGGCTTCGTGGGTCTTTTTGGCAAAGAAATAGTGTTGAATCGGCCTCAACGTAAAGCCAGTAGGCCTCGCCATTTAGATCTATATCCGTTGTGTATCTTGGACATGTGCATCCCGGACGATCAAGCCCATGCTAGTGTGTGACCGGAATTCGCATCAACACACCTTTTATCAACTTTGCTGGGGAAGGAAGCAAACATATCTCCTACTATGGCCGATGGTATGCAAAATGGTCCGACTGATCAAAGCAATCCCGTGTACATCATCAAGCCTTTGGCCTATCAACTTCCTAATGAGATTTGCAAGATGCTAGAGAAGAGGGCATAGGTCGGAGTTGTTACTAATCTATAGTATGCTCTAGTGTGCTTTACATTGGATCGGCTAGAACCTTTCAAGAAAATTAAAGGCAGCAAAATTGATATTATTCCTGCTACAACTTCATCTGAGGTAAAATCTCCTCAACCACCTCCAAGATCTGGAGGGAGGGAATTTTACTCAACTGACCAATAATTAGCTGCTATTAGTTTGGTGTGCTTTGGTAACAAGATAGTTGTTGGCTTGGTGTCCATCTAATAGTTAGCTAACATAATAGCCAGGTCTATTGGATCCACCACAACTAATTTTTAGCAGCTAATAACTACTATCTGGTTGGATCCAACCCGACCCTCAAATCATGTTAAAGTGTTGTTAATTATGATCAATATAATATTAGCAGCAATCAAAATTGATATGGTGTATTAGCAGCCAATAAGTGCCTATGCATGGTAGATTGGTATGGAGTGAATCTATATCATTAAAAATTTGATTTTCAAGGATCAAAATAGATATGACATTACTAGGCAGCATATGCTTACTTATGAAGTAAGATGGGAAATTGTAAATATATGATTTAAATACCTACCATCGGTGTAAACATTGAGTGGGTAAAATATATTAGAGGATATTGGTGCTATGAGTAAAAACCTCAAGATATGATATTTTTTAAGGAAAAATGACAAAAATTGATTGCTCAAGGTTAATTTGGTTGTGGCTCAAGCCTATATAAGAAAAGACCCACAAGCATAGGGGCACTCAATTCTCAATCAGCGAACAACCACAAAGCATAGGAGCATCATCAAGGGACCAACTAGCCTCTACTTTCAGAAGCCTAGCCTAGAGCATCATGGCGTGGTCCAAGAAGACTCTCGCAATTGTCGTTGTTCCGCTGCTGATGGCTCTCCTTGCCTCAACCGTTCCAGCAAGCCAGGGCAGTCGTGCCCTGTTAGGAGCAGAGCAGTGCTCCAAATCTGACTACTGCAACGAACAGTCGTGTGGGGCGACGTGCGCCGTCTTGGGGTTGAATGTTGTTGGGGTATGCAACGTTGTTGGTGGGGTCTCCTCCTGTTGTTGCGTCCCAAAACCATCCACCTCCATCAAAATCCGCCACTAGCCTGTTTGCTGATTCATCAATTTGTCGATTCAAGATAGAGAAACTGCATTTTTGTTAGCAATATGTAATATGTTCTACAAGGGACAAATGTGTGGCACAATGTATTACGTCCATGCACATGGCAAATAAGTGATGGTGTGTATCATTAAATTAATTTAGTACATAAAACGTGGTCACGCAAACCTTCACATTATGACGATACGTTTGATGATTTCTCGTCCTGCCTTGTTTTAGCCTTCTCTACCCAATTCCCAATGATTGGTAACAAGCTTTTGGATGTGATGTCCTTCTTGTTGGCGTGTGATGTAGTGTGGATGGGCTTGCTAGCCTCGGATTGTCCAGTCCTCCTAACCAGTGTGGGCTTGTTTCTACTTTTGGCACTGCCAGTACTGCTAGATAGGGCACAAATGTCACCTCCGTGATAGCTAGGGTGCTTGAAATTGTGATATATGGAGTTGCATCTCCTACAGAGGGCACTGGGTTATAATGCGATAGTTGGGACTCATATAGATATAGCTATTGATCAGTTCTCTAACAATGATGATGAGACCAATGCCTCACAGTTCGTCATAACCTCTAGAACATACAATTCCGTAGCATATCCCGATGACAACTCAAGGTTTTCTTGTTGCAAACTCCTCCGATGATCTACTAGGAAACAAGAAAACTGTGTGTAGCATGTGTTTCCTACTGAGGGTATCACGGGCTATTGAGAGATCCATCCATCCAATCGACAAAAATAATGTATTAAACTGTTTGACTTTTCTGTACCTAAACCTCTCCCAGTCCCCTTGATGTCCAGCGCATCTCTGTACGAGATCTGACGACATCGAAGGTGGCTTTGACAATTTTATAGCAGCCCCGTTGTTCAATTTCCTATGGGTCATCCCTTGAGGGCTTCGTGGGTCTTTTTGGCAAAGAAATAGCGTTGAATCGGCCTCTCCGTAAAGCCAGTCGGCCTCGCCATTTAGATCTATATGCGTTGTGTATCTTGGACATGTGCATCCCGGACGATCAAGGCCATGCTAGTGTGTGACCGGAATTCGCATCAACACACCTTTTATCAACTTTGCTGGGGAAGGAAGCAAACATATCTCCTACTATGGCCGATGGTATGCAAAATGGTCCGACTGATCCAAGCAATCCCGTGTACATCATGAAGCCTTTGGCCTATCAACTTCCTAATGAGATTTGCAAGATGCTAGAGAAGAGGGCATAGGCCGGAGTTGTTACTAATCTATAGTATGCTCTAGTGTGCTTTACATTGGATCGGCTAGAACCTTTCAAGAAAATTAAAGGCAGCAAAATTGATATTATTCCTGCTACAACTTCATCTGAGGTAAAATCTCCTCAACCACCTCCAAGATCTGGAGGGAGGGAATTTTACTCAACTGACCAATAATTAGCTGCTATTAGTTTGGTGTGCTTTGGTAACAAGATAGTTGTTGGCTTGGTGTCCATCTAATAGTTAGCTAACATAATAGCCAGGTCTATTGGATCCACCACAACTAATTTTTAGCAGCTAATAACTACTATCTGGTTGGATCCAACCCGACCCTCAAATCATGTTAAAGTGTTGTTAATTATGATCAATATACTATTAGCAGTAATCAAAATTGATATGGTGTATTAGCAGCCAATAAGTGCCTATGCATGGTAGATTGGTATGGAGTGAATCTATATCATTAAAAATTTGATTTTCAAGGATCAAAATAGACATGACATTATTAGGCAGCATATGCTTACTTATGAAGTAAGATGAGAAATTGTAAATATATGATTTAAATAGCTACCATCGGTGTAAACATTGAGTGGGTAAAATATATTAGAGGATATTGGTGCTACGAGTAAAAACCTCAAGATATGATATTTTTTAAGGAAAAATGACAAAAATTGATTGCTCAAGGTTAATTTGGTTGTGGCTCAAGCATATATAAGAAAAGACCCACAAGCATAGGGGCACTCAACTCTCTATAAGCGAACAACCACAAAGCATAGGAGCATCATCAAGGGACCAAGTAGCCTCTACTTTCGGAAGCCTAGCCTAGAGCGTCATGGCGTGTTCCAAGAAGACCCTCGCAATTGTCGTTGTTCCGCTGCTGATGGCTCTCCTTGCCTCGGCCGTTCCAGCAAGCCAAGGCAGTCGTGCCCTGCTAGGAGCAGAGCAGTGCTCCAAATCTGACAACTGCAACGAACAGTCATGTGGGGCGACGTGCGCCGTCTTGGGGTTGAATGCTGTTGGGGTATGCAACGTTGTTGGTGGGGTCTCCTCCTGTTGTTGCGTCCCAAAACCATCCACCTCCATCGGCATCCGCCACTAGCTTGTTCGCTGATTCATCAATTTGTCGATTCAAGATAGAGAAACTGCATTTTTGTTAGCAATATGTAATATGTTCTACAAGGGACAAATGTGTGGCACAATGTATTACGTCCATGCACATGGCAAATAAGTGATGGTGTGTATCATTAAATTAATTTAATACATAAAACGTGGTCACGCAAATTTTCACATTATGACGATACGTTTGATGATTTCTCGTCCTGCCTTGTTTTAGCCTTCTCTACCCAATTCCCAATGATTGGTAACAAGCATTTGGATGTGATGTCCTTCTTGTTGGCGTGTGATGTAGTGTGGATGGGCTTGCTAGCCTAGCATTGTCCAGTCCTCCTAACTAGTGTGGGCTTGTTTCTACTTTTGGCACTGCCAGTACTGCTAGATACGGCACAAATGTCACCTCCGTGATAGCTAGGGTGCTTGAAATTGTGATATATGGAGTTGCATCTCCTACAGAGGGCACTGGGTTATAATGCGATAGTTGGGACTCATATAGATATAGCTATTGATCAGTTCTCTAACAATGATGATGAGACCAATGCCTCACAGTTCGTCATAACCTCTAGAACATACAATTCCGTAGCATATCCCGATGACAACTCAAGGTTTTCTTGTTGCAAACTCCTCCGATGATCTACTAGGAAACAAGAAAACTGTGTGTAGCATGTGTTTCCTACTGAGGGTATCACGGGCTATTGAGAGATCCATCCATCCAATCGACAAAAATAATGTATTAAACTGTTTGACTTTTCTGTACCTAAACCTCTCCCAGTCCCCTTGATGTCCAGCGCATCTCTGTACGAGATCTGACGACATCGAAGGTGGCTTTGACAATTTTATAGCAGCCCCGTTGTTCAATTTCCTATGGGTCATCCCTTGAGGGCTTCGTGGGTCTTTTTGGCAAAGAAATAGCGTTGAATCGGCCTCTCCGTAAAGCCAGTCGGCCTCGCCATTTAGATCTATATCCGTTGTGTATCTTGGACATGTGCATCCCGGACGATCAAGCCCATGCTAGTGTGTGACCGGAATTCGCATCAACACACCTTTTATCAACTTTGCTGGGGAAGGAAGCAAACATATCTCCTACTATGGCCGATGGTATGCAAAATGGTCCGACTGATCCAAGCAATCCCGTGTACATCATGAAGCCTTTGGCCTATCAACTTCCTAATGAGATTTGCAAGATTCTAGAGAAGAGGGCATAGGCCGGAGTTGTTACTAATCTATAGTATGCTCTAGTGTGCTTTACATTGGATCGGCTAGAACCTTTCAAGAAAATTAAAGGCAGCAAAATTGATATTTTTCTTGCTACAACTTCATCTGAGGTAAAATCTCCTCAACCACCTCCAAGATCTGGAGGGAGGGAATTTTACTCAACTGACCAATAATTAGCTGCTATTAGTTTGGTGTGCTTAGGTAACAAGATAGTTGTTGGCTTGGTGTCCATGTAATAGTTAGCTTACATAATAGCCAGGTCTATTGGATCCACCACAACTAATTTTTAGCAGCTAATAACTACTATCTGGTTGGATCCAACCCGACCCTCAAATCATGTCAAAGTGTTGTTAATTATGATCAATATAATATTAGGAGTAATCAAAATTGATATGGTGTATTAGCAGCCAATAAGTGCCTATGCAAGTTAGATTGGTATGGAGTGAATCTATATCATTAAAAATTTGATTTTCAAGGATCAAAATAGATATGACATTATTAGGCAGCATATGCTTACTTATGAAGTAAGATGGGAAATTGTAAATATATGATTTAAATACCTACCATCGGTGTAAACATTGAGTGGGTAAAATATATTAGAGGATATTGGTGCTACGAGTAAAAATCTCAAGATATGATATTTTTTAAGGAAAAAATGACAAAAATTGATTGCTCAAGGTTAATTTGGTTGTGGCTCAAGCATATATAAGCAAAGACCCACAAGCATAGGGGCACTCAACTCTCTATAAGCGAACAACCACAAAGCATAGGAGCATCATCAAGGGACCAAGTAGCCTCTACTTTCGGAAGCCTAGCCTAGAGCGTCATGGCGTGTTCCAAGAAGACCCAGTCATGTGGGGGCGGCGTACGTATTGTATCTTGGGGTTGAATCTTTGTTGGGGTATGCAACGTTGTTGGTGGGGTCTCCTCCTGTTGTTTGCGTCCCAAAACCATCCACCTCCATCGGCATCCGCCACTAGCTTGTTCATTTGATTCATCAATTTGTCGATTCAAGATAGAGAAAGCGCATTTTGTTAGCAATATGTAATATGTTCTACAAGGGACAAATGTGTGGCACAATGTAGTTCATCCATGCGCATGGCAAATAAGTGATGGTGTGTATCCTTAAATCAATTTAAAACATAAAACGTGGTCACGCAAAACTTCACATTACGACGATACGTTTGATGATTTCTCGTCCTGCCTTGTTTTAGCCTTCTCTACCCAATTCCCAATGATTGGTAACAAGCATTTGGATGCGATGTCCTTCTTGTTGGCGTGTGATGTAGTGTGGATGGGCTTGCTAGCCTAGCATTGTCGATCCTCCTAACTAGTGTGGGCTTGTTTCTACTTTTGGCATCGCAAGATCTTTGCTAGATAGGGCACAAATGTGACCTCCGTGATAGCTAGGGTGCTTGAAATTGTGATATATGGAGATGCATCTCCTATAGAAGGCACTGGGTTATAATGCGATAGTTGGGACTCATATAGATATAGCTATTGATCAGTTCTCTAACAACGATGATGAGACCAATGCCTCACAGTTCATCATAACCTCTAGAACATACAATTCCGTAGCATATCCCGACGGCAACTCAAGGTTTTCTTGTTGCAAACTCCTCGATGATCTACTAGGAAACAAGAAAACTATGTGTAGCATATGTTTCCCTCTTCGAGGGTATCACGGGCTATTGAGAGATCCATCCATCCAATCGACAAAAATAATGTATTAAAACTGTTTGACTTTTTCGTACCTAAACCTCTCCGGCCCCTTGATGTCCAACAGCATCTCTCTACGAGATCCGACGACATCGAAGGTGGCTTTGACAATTTTATAGCAGCCCCGTTGTTCAATTTCGATGGGTCATCCCTCGAGGGCTTCGTGGGTCTTTTGGCAAAGAACTAGCATTGAATCGGCCTCTCCGTAAAGCCAACCACCTCGCCATTTAGATCTATATCCGTTGTGTATCTTGGACATGTGCAGCCCGGACGATCAAGCCCATGCTAGTGTGTGACCGAATTCGCATCAACACACCTTTTATCAACTTTTTTGGGGAAGGAAGTAAACATATCTACTACTATGGCTGATGGTATGCAAAATGGTCCGACTGATCCAAGCACTCCCGTGTACATCATGAAGCCTTTGGCATATCAACTTCCTAATGAGATTTGCAAGATGCTAGAGAAGAGGGCATAGGCTGGAGTTGTTACTAATCTATAGTATGCTCTAGTGTGCTTTACATTGGATCGGCTAGAACCTTTCAAGAAAATTAAAGGCAAAAAATTGATTTTATTCTGCTACAACTTCATCCGAGGTAAAACTCCTCAACCACCTCCAAGATCCGGAGGAGGAATTTTACTCAACCGACCAATAATTAGCTGCTATTAGTTTGGTGTGCTTAGGTAACAAGATAGTTGTTGGCTTGGTGTCCATCTAATAGTTAGCTAACATAATAGCTAGGTCTATTGGATCCACCACAACTAATTTTTAGCAGCTAATAACTACTATCTCGTTGGATCCAACCCGACCCTCAAATCATGTTAAAGTGTTGTTAATTATGATCAATATAATATTAGCAAAGATAATCAAAATTGATATGGTGTATTAGCGACCAATAAGTGCCTATGCATGGTAGATTGGTGTGGAGTGAATCTATATCATTAAAATTTTGATTTTCAAGGATCAAAATAGATATGACATTATTAGGCAGCATATGCTTACTTATGAAGTAAGATGGGAAATTGTAAATATATGATTTTAATAGCTACCATCGGTGTAAACATTGAGTGGGTAAAATATATTAGAGGATATTGGTGCTACGAGTAAAAATCTCAAGATATGATATTTTTTAAGGAAAAAATGACAAAAAATGATTGCTCAAGGTTAATTTGGTTGTGGCTCAAGCATATATAAGAAAAGACCCACAAGCATAGGGGCACTCAACTCTCTATAAGCGAACAACCACAACGCATAGGAGCATCATCAAGGGACCAAGTAGCCTCTACTTTTGGAAGCCTAGCCTAGAGTATCATGGCATGTTCCAAGAAGACCCTCGCAATTGTCGTTGTTCCGCTGCTGATGGCTCTCCTTGCCTCGGCCGTTCCAAAGAAGCCAAAGGCGGTCGTGCCTGCTAGGAGAAGCAAAGGTGCTCCAAATCGACAAACCGCAACGCACGGTCATGTGGGGCGGCGGCGCCGTCTTGGGGTTGAATGCTGTTGGGGTATGCAACGTTGTTGGTGGGGTCTCCTCCTGTTGTTGCGTCCCAAAACCATCCACCTCCATCGGCATCCGCCACTAGCTTGTTCGCTGATTCATCAATTTGTCGATTCAAGATAGAGAAACTGCATTTTTGTTAGCAATATGTAATATGTTCTACAAGGGACAAATGTGTGCCACAATGTAGTTCATCCATGCGCATGGCAAATAAGTGATGGTGTGTATCCTTAAATCAATTTAATACATAAAACGTGGTCACGCAAAACTTCACATTATGACGATACGTTTGATGATTTCTCGTCCTGCCTTGTTTTAGCCTTCTCTACCCAATTCCCAATGATTGGTAACAAGCATTTGGATGTGATGTCCTTCTTGTTGGCGTGTGATGTAGTGTGGATGGGCTTGCTAGCCTAGCATTGTCCAGTCCTCCTAACCAGTGTGGGCTTGTTTCTACTTTTGGCCTTGCGCCAAGATTGCTAGATAGGGCACAAATGTCACCTCCATGATAGCTAGGGTGCTTGAAATTGTGATATATGGAGATGCATCTCCTACAGATGGCACTGGGTTATAATGCGATAGTTGGGACTCATATAGATATAGCTATTGATCAGTTCTCTAACAACGATGATGAGACCAATGCCTCACGCATCATAAAATCTAGAACATACAATTCGTAGCATATCCCGATGACAACTCAAGGTTTTCTTGTTGCAAACTCCTCCGATGATCTACTAGGAAACAAGAAAACTATGTGTAGTATATGTTTCCTCATCGAGGGTATCACGGGCTATTGAGAGATCCATCCATCCAATCGACGAAAAAATAATGTATTAAATCGTCTCGACTTTTACGTACCTAAACCTCTCCTAATCCCCTCGATGCCCGGCGCATCTCTCTACGAGATCTGACGACATCGAAGGTTGCTTTGACAATTTATAGCAGCCCCGTTGTTCAATTTCCTGATGGGTCATCCCTTGAGGGCTTCGTGGGTCTTTTTGGCGAAGAAATAGCGTTGAATCGGCCTCTCCGTAAAGCCAGTCGGCCTCGCCATTTAGATCTATATCCGTTGTGTATCTTGGACATGTGCATCCCGGACGATCAAGCCCATGCTAGTGTGTGACCGGAATTCGCATCAACACACCTTTTATCAACTTTGCTGGGGAAGGAAGCAAACATATCTCCTACTATGGCCGATGGTATG